GTGATTGTGCAGATTGTTCCATTTCAGAATAATATATATGATATGTTTTATAATGATTGATCATTAAAGTGTTCTCAAAGCTGGTAAAGGTGCAGCTAGTTTGAATGATATATTATATATCTGTATACTGCAGGGTAGCTTGTGAATTTACTAAAGTCTGAGTTAACACTTGATTATATTTCACATCATTCATCCACATCTGTAAAGTAACTAAAGGTATTAAATACATGTAGTGGAGTAGAAGTACACCATTTAACTATGAACTGTAGTGGAGTAGAAGTACACAGTAGCAAAACATTTACAAGTACCTCAACATTTTACTCAAGTACAGTACAATATTTTAACATAATTATATATTTAATTTATTTCACATTTTAAATAAAGCAATTAATTCGGTTAACAATTTGTTAGTTTTTTCTTTTAAAAAATAACAAAAAGTAAATACAAGAATACCGTTAAAGTACCGGATCGATAAGCAGTATTGATAAGACTAGCAGTACCGTAGAAAACCTTAATGATACCCATCCCTAGATATTACACAAGTAAAGTGTTAAGAGAGTGAAATGTTGCTTTACGAATTTCAACACTTGATGCTGTCACCTTGATTACAATTTCAGATACCTGTATTTGCCTAACTGAATTGGTTTAAAGAGAGAAAACATTTTGACTAAAAGTTGACTAAAATGTAATTTTTCCATCGACTAAAAGTAGACTAAAACGTTTTGAGTTTTCGTCGACTAAAACTAGACTAACACGTTTTGAGTTTTCGTCGACTAAAACTAGACTAAAACTATGAAGGATAGAAATGACTAAAATGTGACTAAAACTAATTACCATTTTCGTCTAAAGACTAAGACTAAGACTAAATCAAAAACAGCTGCCAAAATTAACACTGCCTAGGCTCATTACGACCGTGTGTAATATAGGCACATCTGGGACAGAGGAAAAACTGGGCTGCCTATAGCCGACAGGTTATAAGCCGCCTGTTTAAACGTCAAGCCCTGATGTATATTAACCGACTGGTTAATTACAGCTGGCTTGTGCCGCGAGCCCTGCTGCCTGCTAACCGACAGGTTACAGCCGGCTCAAACGGCGCACCCAGCTGTCTGTTAACCTTACAGGTAAAAAACAGCTGCACCTCCACACGCTGTATTGCACAGCGGCTCTCATCATGTCGCCGTTTAGGAGAAGGCTCGTAAACCGGACATTGAGGCGTGTTCACGCTCAAACCCGCTTGAGGAATGAGCGGAGTGTAGGAGGCACATCTGTGACATAGGAAACAAACCCGTGCTGTCTAATTAACCGACAGGTTTTAACCTGTTTAGCCCTGAGCCTGTTTTTCAGGTCTCAGGCTCGAAAATGACATTCCCAGAACAAATTACCATATCTTCCCTTCTAAAAGGGTTAAATTAATAATCTTTTTTCTCAAAGTAATGATAAACCTGTGCGTTGGATGTAGAAGAGTCAGAATCAATATAGATGTTTTTTATTTTAAAGAAAATTCAGATTGAACATAGTAAAAAAACTGTAAATTATAGTGTCCGTCCAAAAAATATTTTTTACTTATAGTGAAAACTACCCTTGGATGATGGTAAGGTAGACTAAAAGCTTCAGGAATCCAAAGTACAACATATAATAAGTCAGTGTTGTAGTCCAAGTCACCAATTCACGAGTCCAAGTCACTCTCGAGTCACCACTCTTCGAGTCCGAGTCCAAGTCCGAGTCACCAAGGGAGAGTCGTAGTCGAGTCCGAGTCCAAGTCCGAGTCACCCAAGGAGTGTCCGAGTCGAGTCCGAGTCCGAGTCATCATTACCTGTGCTCGAGTCCAAGTCCAAGTCCGAGTCACCCAAGGAGTGTCCGAGTCGAGTCCGAGTCCGAGTCATCATTACCTGTGTTCGAGTCCGAGTCCAAGTCCGAGTCACCTAAGAAGAGTCCAAGTCAAGTCCGAGTCACAAGTCTTCATGTATTAATCTTCATGGATATATGTGTTGAAATGTAGCTGCTCCTCTACATTGCTTTTATCCTGTCATGTTATACTAATGTGTCTATTGAACTGCTGTGAAGCGAGTTTGGCTACAATTCTTGTAATAGGTGCTATACAAATATAAAGCTTATTACTAATATTAATATTATTATATATAAATAAACTATATTTAAAATGAGTTACCTTTTAGAGAAGTGATTATATTTGTATGCCAATATTTTCCTATGGTAAAGTTTTTGCTTTGCACTTTTATTTTGATAGTAATAAGATCGGGACTCTTATTTTGAAGGAACTTTTACCGGTTAAATCGGTTCACTGATAAAGATTTAGCCCCAGAAAGCACATGGCTACTTAGCATGCAAAATGATGTCATTCTGCATGTTAAGTAGCCATGTGCTTTCGTGTTATCGGCTGAATCTTTATTTATTGATTAGATCACGTTACTCTGATGATAGTGTTCAAGACAGCCTATATGTCTGAACTCGATCCTTAGAGTAATGTGTTACGGAGCCTTCTCTTCAATATTGTTTCCACATAACGAGCATTTTGCGCTGCTCTTTTCCAATGTGGAAGCAGAATGTGTGAAAGCATACAGCACGTTGCGGGGAGTGTCTCTAGACATCTTTAGACTGGAATAGCGGGGCCCAGTACGTGAACTCGCCTCGCAGGTGCACACGCCATGATAGAGGACATCAGACTCCAGAGAAAATGTGCTCGAGTCCGAGTCCAAGTCGGAGCTCAATGTACAAGTCGAGTCCGAGTCATCGTGGGGGGGAAAATTCACGAGTCCGAGTCCGAGTCCAAGTCAGCGTACGCGATAATTCACGAGTCCGAGTCCGAGTCCAAGTCATCGTGCGCGAGAATTCACGAGTCCAAGTCTGAGTCGCGTCAATCGAGTCCGAGTCGAGTCACGAGTCCCGAAAATCGGCACTCGAGTCCGAGTCCAGGACTCGAGTACTCCATCTCTGTAATAAGTACCCTGTATCAAGATTGATGCAAAACAAGTGACATTTGACCTTTTTAGAGAGGTTTAGCAAAAAGAACTCCACCTCTGAGGTGATTTGGGTGGAAATGGGGGTTTTACCGTTTCTCTGGAACCCATTGGTCGATTTTGGTGATTGACATCTCTTTCTGACCGTTAGAGCCAATAGAATCGAAGGGGAATTTCCCCCCACACACACATGGTAAAGAAAAAAGGTGGGGGCTTCGCGCATGCAGTTTTGCATCAGAGCGAACCTATCTCTAGCTCTGACATCTGGAAACGGAAAAACAGTTTTATTGCTTATGGATGATCAGAAATCATTTCAAAGGGACACAGACACATTGGATTAACCTATGGATTAACTTCAGCAGCGTTTTTATCGTTTTAATGCCATTGAAGACCACTTTTGACCAGACTACGACACAGGTAAACCATGTTAGCGTTTTTAGCTACCTAGCGCCACATGTTTTGATGTCTGTTTTTGTTTATAAAGTCGCGAGTTCGTATCATAGAGTGATAATGTATGTACCCATCGATGTGTTGGATGTGCAGAAAAGATAAATAATAAGGTTTTATGAGTGAATTTCGGTGCAGTAATCTGTTAGCATTTTTCGCTTGTTGCTAATTCAGAGGCTGAGCGTTAGCATTGTGGGTTTTTAAAAAAAAAAAAAAAAAAAATGATCAGTTAGATGAGTTTCTTCCCGTTACATGGATATAAAACATTCATAGTTTATTAAATGAACATGCCCTCAGACACTGTTTCCTGCAAGATGTTGCGGGAGGGCCCCGGTACCGGGGTCTCTCGGGCTTAACAGGTTAAAGACAGCCGGTTTAAGCCGCGAGCCCTGCTGCCTAATAACCGACAGGCTATATGAGGCAGCCGCTTATACAGCTTTTTTTTATGTCATCCGGAGGAGAGCTCTCCTGAACCGGGGGAACGGGGAGATCTCATTAGGTGGCTGCCTTTCCGATGATCTCCGGGAGTTCCTGGAGAATACCGCCTATCGACGGCAGAGCCGTGATGGCGGATAGAGGGACCCGGTGACCCGGGACCCGGTGTCAGCCCGGCAGCCGAACCTAGGCTCGGCTGCCGGGCCCCCGCCCTGTCTCCCCCGTCCGGAGGAGAGGGAGGATGGGGCCGGGGGAACCACATGGTGATCCGTGAAATGGAATCCAAGTTGTGGTTCTTACGTAAGACCTGTGATGGCGACTAATTCTTATTGCTAGGGGGGTATTATAAACTTTCTGATTTTCTGACTGCTCATGTTCCTTCCTTACCCTGTGTTTTCAGACTTAGCAGTTTCTTTATTATAATCAATGAAATCATGAATAAAACAAAATCAATCAGAGATTCAACTGGGGGTGAGGATATCCTGACTTTTAACCCCTGTTATGCCTCAAGCTCGAATAACAGCTGGCTACACACCAACCCGATTTTGGGAGTCAGAGGCCGTCAGAGGCAGTCGGGCATTCGCGGCACCCTACTCAGGTTGGTGTGTCCCGCACCGTCGTCTCTTTACGGCACCTTTTCACACATCCCGCGAATCGGCCGCGGGAGGTCAGAGAAAGTCGGCCCAAGCAATCACTCTGATTGGCTGTTCACACTACCGCTGCCTGCTGGCAAGGACAGTTATTGCCACTCGTCGACTGAAGTATTTGCGGTGTGTTCGTAGGCGTAGCTGACGTAAAAGTCGGGACGCCTTCGGTACGCGTTCTTTGGTCTCAGGTGGGTGTGTAGCGGCCTTTACAGCATCTTTCATGAGAACTGGCACCCATACTCAACACTGATAGCTTTTAAATTATGCATCTCTTGTTTTAAACACAAGCTTTTTAGTTAAAATATAGTCTACAGTAGTTGATATCACTCTGCTGTGTTGCATTCCTTGTAAATCCAACTACATGTGTTATACCGTGGAGTGGAGTCTTGCTGAACAGATATATTTATGGATTAGTTCCCTGCTGGTGTTAGCCGCTCTGTGAGGCTGGTGCCTCAGGGTCTGCTGTCACAAGCTGATTGCTTTGTTTTCTCTGCAGAGCTCCAGCCCACAGACAGAAGCCCCCAAAGACATCATAACACCGTTTTTGCATCCAGAATCAACAGCTCTGCCTTCAGAAACCGCTGCTGCCTCTACTGAGGAGGGCAGTGATGTTCCTGATGGTGTTATCACTTCTCCACGAAGGGAGAACCTCCAGGGTCAGAAGAGCCAAGTCAACTTGGAGCAGCTGGAAGCGACCGAAGCCATATTTGATCTGCTGAAGGAAATATCTGGTTTGTTTAAACCATTTAAGGCATTCAAAAGATGGTTAAGATGTGTTGAGGTTCTTGTCCATGGTCGCATTATACTGCAAGGAAGTAATGTACTGCTGTGGATGTTGTTTCTCCTAACTTTCGGCGAGCCATACACAATATATGTACTATCCCTTTAAGGCCTGCAGGATTTTACCAGGGCCATTCTTTTTGTTTAACATACTGCAACCTTTAAATTGATTAATGCATGTTTCCTAAAGTCTTCAAACCTGTAGAGACCTGACACTCGCCTGACAAAGCTAATCCTTTGCAATGTGGTTTGTTTTTATTAACCATCATGTGGTATCTTAATGTGAAAGCATGCACTGGTATTAGAAAAAGGGTGGTGCATTTGTGTGCAGTGACAAGCTAGAACAATCAAGTGTTGGCAGTTTGTAGCTTCAGAAGAGAGCCATAATCAAACATTGATGTGATGAAAAGAAAAGTTTGGTGACTTCATGTCCTGAAATGTAGATACTTAATCATACAGGCTGGAAGATAGTAAGGAAAAATTGAGTAGGCTGAACCGCTTAAAAAAAATAATTCTAGTCATGACAAACCCATATTAATCTATATTATTACTGACTTGCTGCTCCTGTCTTTGATCAAGTCAATTCTCTCCATACAGTAAATCCAATTTGACTAAACTAAGCTTTAACATGCAAAAACACACTGTCTGTTTCAACAGGAAACTCCATCCGAGTGAAGTTTGTTGCCTTTTCGAAACGTTGTGGGCCCTTCTTGAAATGGTAAGTGTCTTTTAGTGATGAATCTTTTTACAGAGTTTTGATTAGAGCGTGTGGATCCTCGAGTGACTTCTGGTTGTTTTCTCCTCCAGGATAGTGAACTCTTTCCTGGACAAGATGAACCCAACAGAATTGCAGATGGCGGGTTATATCGACACACTGCGGAACAATCAGTGGCCAGAAATCAAACCTGCAGCACCTCATCATGCTCGCAGCGAGGAGGAGAAGAGCGAGACGAGGGACCGGGCGCACGGCCTGATCAACGCCAGATGTAGGTGACACCTCTCCATCAGAAAGAAGTACACAGTTATGTTTGGCGCATCTATAATCTCTTTTCATGTTCTTGTTGTAGATTACTACATTAATCTAATCCCGAAGAAGGACATGGAGGCTGTTTTTAATCTTTTCCAGGACAGAGAGGGAAACCAAACGCTGGTATATGTGAGTATCTCATCATTTACTTTCTGTCATTAAATTATTCAGATCATTTATTCAAGTTGAAAGTTGGAAAATACTACAGCGTAAAAATACTCCATTACTAATTAAATGTAGTGTAGTACAAGTATAAACTAGCAGTTAATGGAAATACAAGCACCTAAAAAGTCGGCAGACTACAAAGTAACTAGAAATCTAGGTGTAGTGATGGACCTGCATTTTAACAGTCACATTACAACAGTTATTAGGTCTGCATACTATCACCTAAAGAACATATCTAGGATTAAAAAACTAATGTCGCAACAGGATTTAGAAAAACATGTCCATGCGTTTATCTTCAGTAGACTCGACTACTGCAATAGTGTATTCACAGGGCTCACAAAAGCATCCATCAGAAAGCTGCAGCTGATTCAGAACGCTGCTGCTCGAGTCCTCACAAACACTAAAAGAGTGGATCACATCAGTCCGGTTCTGAAGTCTTTACACTGGCTTCCAGTCGGCCAAAGAATTGATTTTAAAATACTATTGCTAGTTTTTAAATCACTAAATGGCTTAGGACCGAGGTATATAAACGATCTCCTGCATAACTATGAACCATCCAGGAGTCTCAGGTCTTCTGGGTCGGGTCTGCTCTCTGTTCCAAGAATAAGAACTAAACATGGAAAAGCAGCGTTTAGCTATTATGCCCCGACAATCTGGAACAAACTGCCCGAATCGTGCACGTCCGCTGAAACACTTCCTATTTTCAAATCCAGACTAAAAACATATCTATTTGCCGCTGCTTGTAATTGAGCTGTTCATACTCGCACTGCAGTATGCCTTTTATTCATGTATTCTGTACCTGCTGTTTATTTATTTATTTATCTTTGCTTTTTTATGCCTGTTTTTAAATGCCATTTAATAATGTGTTTATGCTGTATTTATTCTTAAATGTCTTTTGTTTTTATTTTGTAAAGCACTTTGAATTGTCGCGTGCTGAAAGGTGCTATATAAATAAAATTGCCTTGCCTGTACATGGGTACACTACTTGAGTAAATGTACTGACTTCACTTCCAAACACTTGCTAATTTATCAGTTTTTTAGGTTTCTTTTATAAAAATGTTGTTCTGAATTTGTTGCATTATCTTTCATAACAGATGCTCCTGTCATACCTGATGAGGAAATTTCTTCCCAACGATGTGAGCGTCGCTGCCCTCCAGAAAGTGACCACCTCCCCCCTGCTGATCTGTGAATTCCCCTGAATATCTGTGACCATTTCTGTATCAATGTCGAACATTCCTCTCTGCTGTTTTTACCTCAAACGTACTGTAAACAGTTTTGTGTTTATCCTTTTGGTTTTTATTTTTGAACAGTAAGTAATTAACCCTGACTTTAATCTTTGTGAAATCAGAGACATTCTTTATGGGATCAAGCTTTACACATTTTGCTTTTATTGTAAAACTCACAGGAGAAAGTAAGAATTACACCCTTCAAAGTTAAAGTTGAATTACATATTAGAAAGTATTTTGTGTCACTTTGAGCACTTGTTTTTTGGTGAGAGTGTTTGTTTTCTGATTAAGTTTTATATAATAGAAGATGCCACGATTACCTTTATCTGTCAGTGGACAGTGCCACTACCAAAGGAAACTGTTGATGTTGTTGAAGAAAGGAAGAAAATGGAACAATGTACTTAATTATATAAAGCTTAAATATGCTAAAAACTGTGTTAAAACTCTGAATGTCATAGTCATGTATCGTATAGTTTTAACGGTTTAGCAATATAAACAGGATGTATAACACAAATCCTTAAAAACATAGGTACTCATAAACATAGATATATATAAACACTAGATGACTCACCCGCGCTGCTGGCCAATGGAGACCGACGTTGCCACATGGCGGCCATCTTGCCACAGGCTCGCTCATTCATAACATTATGTCTATGGTGCACTATTGAAATAACCGTAGATTGCTCAATTTTCAACCAATTTTCAAACGGTTTGGTTTGTTATAAACATCAAAGATGTAGTTATGATACTGCATACTTATAATTATAATCATGAACTTTTTTTTCAACATGTCTTGTTGTCTCCTGTATCATAGCCATGCTAATAACGTTTATAATAAACCAAACCGTTTGTAGATCAGTCAAGATTTCAGCGAGTTAAGAGTATTTTTGTGCAGATCACTCACCTTACAACAGCTGTAGCAGTAGTTGTTGACTGTGGCAAGATGGCCGCCGGTGAGCTACGCTGGCGACTCCCCCTTGAGCCATCTAGTGTTTATATATATCTATGCTCATAAAGACCTATAGTACGCACTTCCCCTTTCGAGGAGAACATCTGTTATGTATTTCCTCGCTGGAAGTGAACAGTTAACCACAGCAACGAAGAAGGACATCTCTAAACGCACCAGCTTGCACGCAAAGCATGTGACGAACCACGTGTCAAACCATGTGACAAGCCGCGGGAAAGAAGAGGATAAAAGAAGACTGAAGAACATCGGAGAGCAGTTCCTCTTTGAACCCAGTTCGAACTTGAACTCTCCAGCTTGTTTAGAAAGCCACGGAAGACGATCGAATACTTACTCATAGTGAGGCAAAAATCTCGGATATAATATGTATCTGGGCAAAACGCATTTCATTTTTTATTGATGTGTGGTGTTATAACTTGTGAAACTTTAATAAAACTGTTCCCCGAGACATTATATTCAGCAGAAGTCTCCACGTTTGCAGTCAACCAGAAGTAGTTTGTAAACCTCAGCTTACTAGTTGTAACGGACAGAAAAAACACGACCACATCGCACTGAGTTTGGCCTGGAGTACTGACCGTTTATTACGCATGCGCATGCTCATTAGCATCACCACGTTTCAGGCACATTCTGATGATGTCATACACATGAACTGAAACATGACTTTGTTCTTATACAAATATGCTTAACAAAAACTACCTGTTCACATTTGTGAGAGGAAACTAAAGTCCATGTAGCCCTTCTAGTACAGCGGATAAGCACAACAATTGTGCATTTTATGAGAAAAGCATGACATTTCTAACATAGTTAGTGCATACCATAAGGTTTATTTTCAGATGTGGAGGGAAGTCAGATTTGACCTGTGAGGACCGTGAGAGGTCAAATCCAAGATGGCCGCCAGTCTCTCGGGTCAAATGTTCAAACACGTTTAATTTTGGAACCAAACATTGTAGAAAAACATTTAAGGTGTCATATCCAACCAGGGCTGGACTGGGACAGCAAATCGGCCCTGGCATTTAGACCCAGACCGGCCCAAATCCATAAAACAAACGAATAGTAGCGGTTCCTGACAAGAAGAATAACTCAGTATAATTTAAAAAAACGCTATTATTATCCTTTTTACGTACCAGGGGCAAACAAAACTAATACATACCACAAGTATGTGTAACTATCAATCATTAGAAATTAGACCTTCAAACCCTCTCACAAAGCGAACAGTGACCGAGCACTAATAGGGGGGTCTGGTGGGGTATGCCCCCCACAGAAGAAAAGTTTTAAAAATAACCCCTTAAATGATGACTTCTAGTGAATTTAGGGGGGGGGGGACCCTATAGTGCCCTGCCTCCCCTTTCTATGACAACACAATAGAGATAGGACCAGATGAGTCGACGGCATCTTTTTATATACATTGACGCTTTCATTTAATTTTTCCATCCTTTTTTTAATCGCTGTAATTGTATTGCCTTTTTCATCTGTACACACGACACCTATTGCACATCTGTCCGTCCTGGGAGAGGGATCCCTCTTCTGTTGCTCTCACAGAGGTTTCTTCCTACTTCCCACTGTTAATTGTGGGGGTCTGTTTTGGGGAGTTTTTCCTTGAGCGCTGCAAGGGTCTAAGGACAGAGGATGTCGTACCTGTACACACTGTGAAGCCCTCTGAGACAAATTGTAATTTGTGATATTGGGCTATATAAATAAAATGTGATTGATTGACGCACGCAAGGGGCTATAGTGCAAGTCTTAGGCGGCTGGTTTCTCAGAACCTCACAGAGCACACAGAACTGAAGGAACACAGGTTTAACCAAAAATACTATCCACTGTCTTTATTTTTTTTCCTGAGAATAGGTTTGAAAGAGACAGATTTAAATTTACAAAGAGAGTTGAAGCAACATTTGACAGAAATCCCACATAAATTACAAAAGTACACAACTAGCAAGATATATATACTGTATATATATACTGTACACACAAAGTAACTTATATACTAGACTGAAATAACTAAAATGAATGCTTGTTGTGGAGAGGGGCACTATGTCCAGCGTCCATTCCTCTGTGTGTGTGTGTGTGTGTGTGTGTGTGTGTGTGTGTGTGTGTGTGTGTGTGTGTGTGTGTGTGTGTGTGTCTGTGTGTCTGTGTGTCTGTGTGTCTGTTTGCATGTGTGAGTGTAGTTGGGGGGCTTTGGGAGAGTCAAAAAGGATGCAGGTGACCTCTTTGGTCCCTGATAGAGGTCCATACAAATAGGCATTGACATAACAATACCACACAGTTAATGGTCAAAACTACATGTGTGCCTACATTTTTTCTTCTATTTCTATATTATTCATTCTATATATTGTCAATCAAAACTACCACAAAAAGCTGACTATAACCATTTTGTTCAGGTCCCAAAAGACCACTGTTGCCCTTATAAACACATAAGTAAATAAACTAAACAAAACAAGCTGCCAGCTGACAGTAATTGTTCATGAATGGTGGTTAACAAAATAATGACATTCTTTCAATGAGACAACGTATCAGAGTCCCATTAAGCTATATTTTAACTTGCCAGGGAAAACCTAAAATAGCCAGCTTACTAGCTTGTAGGCTAACGAATGTTTCTCTAATAATATTTGTCTTATTAGTGCTTCATCAAGGGGATATTAATGGGTTCCAGAACTACAGAGTATCATAACCTTAATAATAATCTTTTCCTAATTTTCTTAGCTTCTGCTTACCGCGAGTTCTCCTCCCTCTCCCCACTCGCGCGGATCTCTCTCCCTCTCATCATCTTCCTCACCACCACCAATATCGGCCACGGGTGCTGAATATGGACCTGCACCTGTACTAAACATGTCGGTTATTTTGACACAAGCGGCAACATCAGCACGAAGGGCCTGCTTTTTTCTTGCCCGCAATTTTTCTGCTCCCCCTTTTCGCTTGGCCTTCGTCTTCGCCTTCGCCTTCTCCATTTCTAACTCGAACTTTTTTTTTTCTCGAAAAAAAAGGCGATTTGGCTTCAACGGCCGGCTCACCTCCTGGGGGCGTGATTTAATGATGCACACCGAGCGGCCCAAAGGGGGAGGTGATTAAAGATTTGATTGGGCCGGCCCAGTGTCAATTACTAAAAACATTTAAACAGAGGGCCAATCTACCCGTCTTATGGGCCGGGACTTCAGAAAAAAAAAAAAATGACGTGTCGGCCCAAAAGGCACGTCGGCCCACCGGGAAAATGCCCGGTATGCCAGATGGCCAGTCCAGCCCTGTATCCAACTAAATTAGGGATGCCCAATCATTTGATGATACTTTTGAGATCGCCAGAATTCAAGAAAATGCATTTAGGTGAAGATAAAGGTAGAAATTGACCAAAAATAAGCTGTCAATCAGTTGAAATTTGGTGTGTGTGTGTGTGTGTGTGTGTGTGTGTGTGTGTGTGTGTGTGTGTGTGTGTGGTCACCCAGCGCTAGCATTAATACAGAGACTGGAGGAATATGGCTTTACTTGGCACAGTCTGCATGCTGAAGCAAACATTTGTTTTTGTCTTCAAATACATACTTACATGATTGTGACGAGCATAATATTTGCTCCCCGCCCAACTCTCTAAGTGCTTGAACTCCGTGACAGGAGGATGAAGTATGTATAAATGGATGGAACTATCAACAAAACAACAGCGTTTTATTCCCCAATGTCATATTTAATAGAAAAATAATGATGCACCACTTATTGGAGAAAGAAGAGTATCATAACCTTAATAATAATCTTTTCCTAATTTTCTTAGCTTCTGCTTACCGCGAGTTCTCCTCCCTCTCCCCACTCGCGCGGATCTCTCTCCCTCTCATCATCTTCCTCACCACCACCAATATCGGCCACGGGTGCTGAATATGGACCTGCACCTGTACTAAACATGTCGGTTATTTTGACACAAGCGGCAACATCAGCACGAAGGGCCTGCTTTTTTCTTGCCCGCAATTTTTCTGCTCCCCCCTTTTCGCTTGGCCTTCGTCTTCGCCTTCGCCTTCTCCATTTCTAACTCGAACTTTTTTTTTTCTCGAAAAAAAAGGCGATTTGGCTTCAACGGCCGGCTCACCTCCTGGGGGCGTGATTTAATGATGCACACCGAGCGGCCCAAAGGGGGAGGTGATTAAAGATTTGATTGGGCCGGCCCAGTGTCAATTACTAAAAACATTTAAACAGAGGGCCAATCTACCCGTCTTATGGGCCGGGACTTCAGAAAAAAAAAAAAATGACGTGTCGGCCCAAAAGGCACGTCGGCCCACCGGGAAAATGCCCGGTATGCCAGATGGCCAGTCCAGCCCTGTATCCAACTAAATTAGGGATGCCCAATCATTTGATGATACTTTTGAGATCGCCAGAATTCAAGAAAATGCATTTAGGTGAAGATAAAGGTAGAAATTGACCAAAAATAAGCTGTCAATCAGTTGAAATTTGGTGTGTGTGTGTGTGTGTGTGTGTGTGTGTGTGTGTGTGTGTGTGTGTGTGTGTGTGGTGTGGTCACCCAGCGCTAGCATTAATACAGAGACTGGAGGAATATGGCTTTACTTGGCACAGTCTGCATGCTGAAGCAAACATTTGTTTTTGTCTTCAAATACATACTTACATGATTGTGACGAGCATAATATTTGCTCCCCGCCCAACTCTCTAAGTGCTTGAACTCCGTGACAGGAGGATGAAGTATGTATAAATGGATGGAACTATCAACAAAACAACAGCGTTTTATTCCCCAATGTCATATTTAATAGAAAAATAATGATGCACCACTTATTGGAGAAAGAAGAATGGGGAACAGAAAGGTTTAGAGAGGGACAACATGCTGAAACCTTGCAACTTCAGTGCCAGAGAAAAAAGGTACTGTGAGTACACTTGTGGTTATTGTCCTCATGTTGCACATAGAAAATTCAATTAAGATGTTTACCGCATGTGGGCAAAAATCCATCAATCTTTCAATTTTCTAAAACTTGTTATATCCTTAGAGTCATTTAAAATGAGTTTTTTTCTCCATGCCATGGAGTCTAAATGGGTAAACCTTTGTATTTGTAATTGTACAGCCATGCTAGGACAAACAAATCCCCTTTGCCAATGTTCTCTCTGCCACACACACAACATACATAATCCTTTCTTTGCATGACCTCTAAATGTCCATGTGAGCCACTAAAGAACAGAAAAAAAGCTGCGCTACCTTGGCTTTATAGGTGGACAGGCAGGGAATCGAACCCCAACCCTCTATAAGTGGAAAGGGACAGCGGTGAACCTTATAGTTGAGTGCAGCCCTTTGTTAACAGCGAGGGTTAAGAGAGCTGTTTGTGCTCTACATGGAACTGTTTTCCATCTCCCTCTTTGGTTTACATTATTATTATTATTTTTCTATTAAATATGACATTGGGGAATAAAACGCTGTTTTGTTGATAGTTCCATCCATTTATACATACTTCATCCTCCTGTCACGGAGTTCAAGCACTTAGACT